GTGAAAAATTCGAAATTTTTGAAAAAGTATCAGGGTAATATGAACATCGAGGAGCTATTCACTGAAATTTCCACTGAAAGTGAAAAATTCGAAATTTTTGAAAAAGTATCAGGGGAACATGACAATTGAGGAGCTATTCACTGAAATTTTCACTGAAAGTGAAAAATTCGAAATTTTTGAAAAAGTATCAGGGTAATATGAACATCGAGGAGCTATTCAGTTTTTAACCAATATTTCAATTGATCAGCCATTTACAAAAGAAAAAATTGGAATTATTAAAAAAAAAAATAAATGATGGCGGGATCGAACCCTGGCCGTTCGCGTGATAGGCAAGCACGCTGACGATTAGACAACGCACTTCTTCAAAAAGTATAGTTTCATTAGGCGTATATATTTTGAAAAAGTTTCGTTTTCAAAAATTTCCAATTTTTCAATTTCACTGGATATCTCCTCGATTATCAAATATTCAGTTTTTAAACGATATTTCTATTGATTAGACATTTACAAAAAAAAAAATTGAAATTATTTTGATAAAAAAATATTTCCGGTCCCCCGAAGCCTTTTTTTTCAACGGATCGGTTGTCCACAACATCTCATTTTCCTTGGAAAATGTAAAACTCGCTCAACCGTCGATGCCCCATCACGTTCAACGTGGCGCGAATGTACGCGTGATTATGGAAATATTTTCTTTGAAATGCATTCTGGTGGAAGTCTCTCGATATTCAAAATGTAAAAACTCGGCATGACGTTGATTTCCCTGATCCTTTAACAGTCCTGCATTCTAAAGGAGTAAGTTATTTCCCTGACGATGAATAAATTTCATTCGTATCGGCAGTTTTCGCGTGAAAGCTTCTTCAGTCCATCCTAGAAATTTCAGTTTATAAAGGCCTCGAGGAAGTTTTTTCTGTTCAATCAAAATGTTTATTGTACTCTTTCATGGAATAGAAGAGTGTCTCCTTGTCGAACCATTATGATTTTTCTTTTGTTGTCCTTTCCTTTGACTATAATAGGAATTATACCACAAAATAACTAGCCAATACCATATTATTTTCCCACCTTCTTTATAATTTCAATTAAATCATCAATTTGATACCCATAATTTCCTAGTTTAAACGATTCAAATTATTCAATTATCGGGAAAAAATAATTAAATTTTTTGTCAATTTCTAATGAATACGAATTAGGAATTAAAATGCACATATTTTTTTGCAAGGGAAATGCACTTAACAATTGTGAATAAATTCAAGGGAATAATATTTTCTCTCAGTTTTTTTTTCAAAACACTTCGAACATCTTCCCTGAAGATACTGGAGACTCGGAAGAATTGATGCCAGCGATTTCTCACCTCTCAAAATTCAATTCGTCCGGCAATCTCCCAGGGTTGGCAACCCCTCGATAAACCAAGTTAGAAAAAAAAGCCATGAACTCCATCATGGAGCGGTCGATTGCCACTATCCGGGTAGAAGTGCGCACTACGTGGCTCTAGTTACGTTTATATATATATATTTATTTTTTCCCCATCGTTTTTTGTATTTGCCTCTAGCAGGGGGCATTTTTTTTTTGTCGTACTCCTAACGTTTGGAAAACGCTCAACTGCCCTCAATTGGAAAATCAAACACTCGACGCTGGTTGCACTCGTTCACCACGTACCATGTTTGTGTTCGACGAAACGTGACCGAAGCACCCGTCTTTTTCACCATTACCTTTTTTGTTTATTACTATAATCGTTGTTTAATAATCATTGTTCAATAATTAATCCTGTGAATTTCTACCCACAATCTTCCCTTCAAATTTATCTTTCAAATTGATTGACCAATTCCAGAAATATTCCCGGACAATTTATCAATCAATCAATTTTTTTAATGGCTACTAAATTAATAACACGTGACAAGTTGACTGGTTTCATAATTTTCTTTTCATGGATTATCTTATTATCTACGGAAGATACCGTAATTTTTATTATAATTTTTTTTTGTAGAAGGAAAAAAAAGGTGCAAAAAAAATTTTACGAGAATTTTGCTAACTCCCATATATTCCGAGATATCCCCCCAAAACGGGTAGATGAGCGAAATGGAATTCCCATGACATCTTCACCGACGAGTTGTCCACCAGATAATGGTATTTCAAGGACAAAATTTGATAAATACCTCACCTACCAACGGTGTCAGTCACTATCAAGAAAAAATACAGGTACAGATACGTGCGCGTAGCGATAAGAAGTGGGGAAAAACAGCAGGCGGAAAATGTCTGTAATTTTTCAGCTTCATAAATTGCACCCACCATTTTTGTTATCTTTGTACGGAGTGCAGGGGATGGGCATCCGAGACAGTATTATACGCTCATGGAAAAATACAACTCGGAAGTAAAACGTTGATAGACGATTTCTCGATATGGATTTTTGCTTAGGATTGAAGAAAACTCAAGCCCGTAAAAATAACAATAATTCCATTGGGCTGATGGGCAGAGTCAACAAAAGGCGACATTGGGACGGCTTTTCCAGGGGATCGTGCTGAGGGGTGAGAAAGTTTCCAGCCAAGCGAGAGTTGTCTTTGTCGACAATTTCTCCCTCACTCCCACGGGTTTTTTTTTCCCTGCTCGACCAGCAAGAGCCACTAGTTTCGTAAACAAATCTCGTACACTCTAACACCGACATTTTATGCCCGAGGGGGTGGCGGGTGGTAATGGAGGGGTGGAATTCTTCTCCCACCCCCGCGTTGTTCGCCACTCTCTCGTGTCGAGAACCCACGGGACAAATTTTTATTTTACACTGTCCTTCGACAAACCACTCTCTATTTATGTAGTTTTTTTTTGGTCCTCGTCTTCTCTATTTCTGAAAGTTTCTCGTGTCGGTTCTGGGGAAAAAGTTTTCACCCCCTCCTGTCGCTTTTTCGATGATTCACGTGTCGAGATAAAAAAGTATTGGGAGGGCACGTGAGATTGTCGAGAGGATCTTCTCTCCACTAATTGATTTTCAGTGTTTCTGGCATGTCGGTGGGAGTGTATTTATTGAAAAAACCAGGGAAATTCAATGATTTTCGGTGATTCTTTTTTAATTCGGTGGTTTCTTTTTATCAACCACGATTTTAGACACATTTTAAAAATATTCTGAAATTCTCAATTCCCCGGAATTTAACTCTTTTTTTTTTCCTTAAACCGCCGTTTTTATGTGAATTTTCATGAAAAAATTGAGACGTTGAGGAGGTGTGAAGGACGAAAGACTCGTTGAAATAGTAATTCCCCGGAGATGTCGTTCCGGGAGGGTAGCACTCGGAAACTGTACCCCCAGTAGTTTCCGCAACGACGAAAACCCCAAAAGCCTTTGTATACACAGTGGGGAATTGTTCGTGGGGATTGCTATCCCCTGTTCGGTTCACTGTTTACATACTCTTGTGCACCTGCGGTAAGATGTTGGTGTTTTGTTGGTGCTTATGGGAGGTGAGGGAGGATACATTGGAATAGAGCACCGCTCGATAAATTTCCCTCAATTTTTTTCACTGGATTAGATATTTCTATTACACTAATATGCTCTTGACTTTGATTAGTTTGGCGAATACTCGCCAAAAATATTGTGATGTCAATTGGACCCATCGGGTTGTTCACTTCAGGTTAAATTGAACATTCGGATAAATCGTTTAAAGTGATGGCGATCCTGCTGGATCGTCCCGTGGTTATTTAAGCAACGGTCCCGTCCTATTAATCATGAGGCTTTCAGCATGTTACATGACAAAGCCAGGTGGTGAATTGTATTTCGATGTCCAAACAACGGTAGGAAGGGGTTGAAGAGGGGCTAAACGTGCGTCAGCCTGCTTGAGACGTCTACCGTCATAAGCAAACTTGAAGCTGTAATTAAACGTTTGTTGTTAAGAGCCATATATATCCTCGCCCTGGCCAAATGGACAATGAAGTTAACATTAAATCGAGCAGAAATGCTGTTTAGATGGTGCAATTGAATGAGCTCCTTATGCCAGATGAATTAATAGTCCAGGATTATTCATAAAAATTCTCTTTTATCATTTATGTATAAGAATTCACACGAAACAGACACCTATTTACAGGCAGTCGAAAAATAACATTCTCTACGTACATTCAATGGACCTTCGAGGATGAATTATTACGCGTAAATCAACAGGACAGCTTGAGGAAGATGTCGTTGTAGATATGTTTTGGTTTTGCGTTGCTATTTCATGATGAAATAGAGATATTAAAGTGAAAAAAAATTTCGACGATTCCATCTTTCAGTTCTGTGTTCACGTTATTTCTGGGATAGGCGATTGAAAAAAATCAATATTGAAAACCATTCGAGAAAATAAATATTGATTATCGAAATTTTCATAGTTTTAATTAACGAATGAGAAAAAATATTGACTATGAAAATAATTGATGAGATTTTTTTCACTGGTCGCACTTTTGAATCTTAATTCTTTTTCTTTTTTTCAACAAAAAAAAAAAATCACCTATCCCTAATACCTGCGTAAGTTGAAATGAGAGATATCGGTTGTTATTGATTATATACAGAACAATAATGCTTTGTTGTTAAAAAATTAAGTGAATGAAGAAAAAGTGCTATTTATTGAGAGATAAATCATTCAATTCCATATCTCGCATTTTACTCCAGTAAATAATTGTCCTTTTAAATACTATTTCCTCGAGTCTTTAATGATCCGTCTCGAATTATCCACCATCTCGAGATACGTAAGATGCAGCTCACACAATTTGTCATACTCCTTTTGTTGCGCGTATTTTTTTTTTGCAGCCTTACTCGATATAAAATCGCTTTCAGTGCGAAACTCTTAAATAAAATTATAGCATAAAAACAGAGACCTGCGTTTGCGCGTTAAAATTGAAAAAATTTACAACAATAACAAGTAGAAAGAACAAGTGCAAAACAAATGGGTAAATAAACACAAGTTTTTGTGATATCGTACATTACTTACACTTAGTCGCAGAACAAATTCCACTCTTTCAGACATTCATTTATACATAATTTACATAAATATATGCAGAGACCTTGGAGAGTTGCGCGTGCATTCGAGCCACTGATAAAAAAATTACTCGTGAAGAGGCAAAAAGACAGGCCGAAGAAAACTAAGCATTTTCAATTATTTTTTCAGACAAATTGATCATTGAAAATTGACGGTGTCATGGGAAAATCAGTGACGACTGTCCATTTCAGTTCAACTGTTTCCTGAAAATCAATGACAAATAAAAATTTTTGGAGAAAGTCCCTGTTCAAATTTTCATAAACAAAAAAAAAGCCAGGAATTAATAAAAAAAATCAATAGATATCACGTTAGCCAATCACTTCCAAATCTTTGGCCGAATAATAATAATAATCGGCCTCTAAATTGCCTCTTCACAACTGTAACAAATGAAAATTCCATCATTTTCACTCAAATAGTCCCCAAATACAAATGTATCAATAGCATTTGCCTCTTAACAACATAAAAAAATAACTATATCACATTTAGTTGGAGCAATTGTGCCCATATGAAAAATATTCCCCCATTTCCGAATATTTGGATCGAGTGGACTATCGTAATTTAGATACATTGAGAAATTTTTTGATAAGTACGTCTTGATAACCGGAAAATATTTTACACTGAGAGAAAAACACTACCAAAAAAATGAAGAATTGGAAATTGAAAACTAATCAATTAATTCAATTAAACTCTTTTGGAAAAAAAAACTCTTTCTTGTCACAATATCGTCACAAATTAATAATGATAATTTAATTGGCCGGTTTTTAAGATTCTCAGAGTGATATTTTGTTTTGTCAATTTTTATCTAGCCATCCTCAATGCGAGTGAAGATGTACTTGTCAAAAAAGTCTATTTCAGCGACAGTGATGAAAAATTATTGCACTCCGTGCGAAAAAGTCTCTCGTCGTGCAATAAAAATTGGTAACATGTGCGGAAATGTGTTTTTCCGGTCGGTGACGATGGGGTAATTTCTTGTCAAGATGAAGGCGTAAAATAACCCAATGGAGAACAGACCGCACAGATACGGCATTTTTTCCGTAATAATTTCAATTTTTCGACGGACCAATTCCTAAACGAAAAATTGTGAGAGGCATTACGGAAAATGACTATTTTCTCAGTGTATTATTCGCTGATCGAGCTGTTGATCGCTCTCCTCGACAAGCCGATCAGGCTGGACACTGCGATTTAGGCAGTCTCTTATTGCTTGTAGAATGAGACCAACACGTCTATCAAGTGCAGTGAGATGTGGTTTCCACAGGACCGGCGCCACAGGATCCTTCTCCATGCTTTGACGCATCGCCGCGCTCAGCCGTTGAGGACCGTTGTGGTATCTGGCAACAGATAACATCCATCAAAACATTTACCCACAACTTCCTCAAGTGAATTATGCTAATTGCATTGACAATACGTTTTAGAGATTGATTACGAAATTTCGCGTTGAAACTTTTTGTACCTTTCATCCAAAATTTCGGGTTACTTCGCCAGAAACGAAAACGGCCTTATTGAATTATTTGGATAATTTATGACGTGGCCAACTTAAAATTATCAAAGGAATTTATTCATTGGAATTCATGTATCAATTTCGGATTTAACGAAAATCATTCTCTTTAATAAAAAAAATAATAAAATAAGGGGAATATTATAGTTATCACCGAAATTATGTATGATTGAGGATTTAAACAACGGCAAAATGGTAGATAAAAAATTCATTAACGAGTGATATAATCATTTATTGAAATAGTCGGATCGACGATCGATTTATTCTCACCAACAAATAACCCATTTTTTCACTCTGATTTAACTTCATCGAGAACTAGTCATATCGACAAATATCAATCCAAAATGACTTGATAAATCAACCTAAATTGATAATTCGACTATTGCACATGAAATTTAATTCACTATGACCTAAAATGCAATTTTAGTCATTCCCCCCTCACGAACCCATAAATGAATGAGTCAAATGAATAGTATTAATTTAATTATCAATAACGATTCTGATTGGATTTCAACTTGAACTGTGAATATATTTTTAGGCATTTCCGGTGAAGAAAAAAAAAAAAAAAACCCGTCCCCTGGGATAGGGCAGGTTCTTACCACTGAGAAGAGAATTTATTCCAGTACTTCATTAAGAGTATTACGTATAAATGGGACGAGAGTGCTTAAGGTACATTTTCCTCTCCATTATTTGATTCAGAAATTACCGGAGTTTTTCCATTCGTCGGGATATTCTAGACCCTGACGGCAAATTCCGTCAATCATTTGTCAATTTCTGCATTAAATTCTTGATGTTAATATATTCTCAATTTTTGATTCGACCATTCTGAACATAGTGTTGAAGTATTTTCGTTCAGTTTGTTGGAGCGTTAGAATTGGAATGATAAACGTGAGAAGGAGAGTGAGGAAACCCTGGGATTCTCGGCCCCTCGTGGATGAATTTTCGAGGGCGGTTGAATAACCGGGAAGAGAGATTGGGGGCAATGAATAAGGAAGAGGTATCGTGCATTTTCAAATGATAGTCTCCTATTTTTATGGAAAACTGCGGAATTCTCAAGAGTTTGCTTTTGGGATTGAAATTCTATTCCTGAGTTCTCACACTATTTTTGTGAATATTTAACCTGGTGAATCGTCGGTCTCACCAGAAAATTCGAGAGGACTTTTTTTTGTAGCTGAGTAAAATAATTGACAAAAAAGATGTTTTCATATTTCACTCTAAAATTAAAATTTTTACAGATTAATTCGTAATTATGAGAAATGTTAAATTACTACTGAATTCAATAAATTTTCTTGTGTAAATTGATGGTATTATTTTGAGAAATGATTAGTTCCAAATTGACCATTGACTTTTCGCAAAATTATTCATAAACAAGTGATTCCTTAACAAAATTGAGTGCAGTACTTCGCACTTGAGTGCAGTAAAAAATTGAATTGCATTATGAAAAAAATATTTTTTTTTCCTTTAGGTTTTCTGGCGATCGCAATGCAAATGTATTTCATAAATTTTCAACGGTTCAGCACCGGCACCAGAGACCATCAAGGGGGCAAAACGTGAATCTACACTTTACACCGAGGTGAAACTCCCCCAAGAACAAAGAGGAATCAGCAGCAGTCAACCCCAAAAAGGAGACACTGATGTGGGACGAAAAAGCGAGAGTGGAGAATGGCTGGGGCGTTTCACTTAAATTTACTTTATCCACATCGGTACCTCGAGGGTTCTGGGTGAGAGCCCGAGAGAGGTACTTGCCCTCTGCAAGACCCCTCTTTACTCGGTGAGCCAATTGGAGAAGCTAAAATGCTCCATTATCGATGCCCCGACACCTGGACCATTTCAGCTTTCTTCCTCTTCATTCGGTTTGAATTGCTAAATTAAAGCCAATATTTATCGATGGATTTATTTTTAATTTGAATGTAAGGTTTGAGTTTTGAGTTTTCCTGGCTCCACAGAAATAATTTCAAGAGATCTCTGAAGGATGCGGCTGAAAAAGGTCTCGATATTCTCATATAAAAATAATTGGGAACAATTGGGTTCATGAATACAATGAATTCATCTCTCGGCTCAGTCCCACCGCAGTCGCTCAAAATTCACTTATTAATATTTCTGAGATTTATTAATTTTCCAATTAAATATTACTGTGGAATATTTTATATATTAAATACTCTTTGAAATTGAATATTACGTCATCTTATGGATGGAGTAATGTGAATTATTGATTTTTTAAATCAATAAAATAAGGATCTTTTAATTTAGCGAGACATAATAGGACGAAAGGGTCTCGGAAAATGTACGAGAAACTTGGCGAAAAGTTTTGAATGTTGGGCTGGTCTAAAGAAATGGCCAGTTAAAGGAGTGAATTTCCCCTAGGACTTGCTCAAACTTAGTAACCAGATAAATCGATGGGATCCTCGAGAAAAGCTGTGCAACTGACACACTGTCGTAACACGTAATAACACTCAACGAGATGGCAAATGTTATTTGTAAAGGTACTCACTTGAGGAGGGTCCCAAGGGTCGACTGTCTTATAACGCAGCACTGGAGCAACGGTGCCAGGATGGATGTCTCGTCGTGGTAGGGTTTGCCGAAGCCACGTCCGTGATCCAAGTGTACGATGAACGAGTCATTTCCGAATGTTTTGAAGGTCTCGTAATGGTGTCTGTCCATGTTACCACTGAGAAAATCGAGGATCGACATGTCCATCAGATCCAGCAATCGACGACCTTCATCGTACGGTGGTATGTCCCTAATAAGGGCACAGTAATTCGAATCTGGAAAAAAACAAATTATCCACAATTACTAATTGTTAATTTAATTGAAAAAATTAAATTTTTTTTTAATATCAAAATAACATTTTTCTTTTTGAATACTCTTTGAGAAATTATAATGAAAGAAGAAATGGTGAAATGATGAGCGATGAAACACACCTGTTTCCCAAGCAGCCTTCCTGCGTTTATGATAACTCCTTCTCCAAGGGTGTCGCCAGACTTTCCTCACAGCTAGTTCCTTGCCAGGGAGAAAAGCGGCAAAGCTGCCCTCGAGAGTGTCAGGATTGCCGCAGATAGCATGACTCGTGTCGCAGTAATAACTGCATCTGCCGTGAAAGCACATGTTTCCAGCTGGACTGACGAAGAATGTTTTCAACAATTCACCCTCCGCCAATTGATATATCTCAGTGGTCATGTTGAGGGTACGACCGGTCACTGGCATTGCCCTTCTGAATCCCAAAAGCCTGGGCAAACAAAATATTCCAGTCACTTTGGCTCATGTCGAGTCATTTATTTCCAGAGGATCTTGTTCCTAGGACACTCGCTAATGGATTTATGATTACTTACTTGTCGAGGTGGAAGGTCGCTATCTCCGCTGTGTGACGCTCAAAATCTGTGAAGTAGAAATGGTTCGGAAGCGTTTGCTGTTCACGACCGAATCTGAAGAAAAATAACCAATGAATTAATTCTTCAGTGACAATCATGAGAAATCATCAACAATCATCATTCATAACAATCCATTATAATTTTATCCCCTTGTGCAATTCTGTGGATTTACATTTCTCAAACCTTGATATTCATTACAATTTTTCAATTTAATCCAAATTTTATGGAATCGGAAATTTTCTATTTGACATTTGTCGATCTGTCAACAGTAAGTAGTCTGATATTTAATAGAAATTCGTGGATATGATTGGCTGCTTGTTATCATCCCTACACTCATTCGTTCATTCCTCATCCCACGGAAAACATTAATTCAAAGTTGACTGGTTGCTGATGAACCTTTCACTGGATGTCGTCGACACAATAACAACCTCAACACTGATGGCACACATTCATCACTGACACCGAGCCACAACTCGACAATCCGCGAGGAAAATGAAAGGAAGATGGACGGGGTCTGCAAAAACTACGAGAACCCGGAAATAAATAAAAGTACAGAACATTGTGGAGTTGAAACCGAGTTATTATCCCAGATTCCTCTCACTTTCTCCGCAATTAATTCACAAAAAATATCTCCAATTATTTTCGATGATTAATGCATCAACGTACCTGCGAGTTGACAATTTTTTATAACTTTTCCTATTTTTCTTCGGAATTTCAATCGAATCGAGAAAATTTCGCTAACGAAGACCAAAAATTCCGTCTCTCATTCTCTCCTCTGGGAGTTAATTAATTCGTCGCGGTTGGTAATTAGCGCGCGATTTGCATCTGATTAAAAGTTAACAGGGGGACTCGGTGGTGCTGTAAGGTTTTTGGGCTGTTAATAGAACGAAATGGATGGGATGGGGTGTGGGTCGAGCTAAAAGGAGATGGTGCAAGAGTTTTGCCCATTTCCATTTGCTATTTCAAATCCCAGAGTTACTCATCACCACTGTGGACACTTGGTCGACGACGAGGATCACCCGGTGCGTAATTACACTCTCCCGAGGCTTTTCCTATCGTAATGAATTCGTCATTATTCTCTTTGATAGAGTTTGCCGAGTGCTATTGCTTTTGGTTGATCTTCTTTGATTGACGGATTATTGGCAATTCTAGGTACTGGAAATTCTCCAAATTATCAACTGCGAGAAACAGAAAAGAATTTTTCATTTATTTATTTATTTATTTTTTTTTATTTCTGAAGATCCATCGACAATTTTAATAGTGAAACAGATATACTGAGATGGAGTTATCAAAAAAGTGAGCAAATACACTTTTCCTGTACCACTCAACTCCTGAACTAATAATGTTTGCTCATCCGAGTATATCGAGGGATCGGATTTCCCGTCCAAGTGACCAGAATAACAGAAAAGTTCAGGGATTTTTTTTACCCAACGATTAACAGAATACATACGCGGGATTATGACTTTTTTTTTTTTTTTGGTCTCGTCGTCACAATGATGGCCACTCGGGAATTTACCAGCAACTTCATCCACCGGAACGCGTAAAACTTTGGAGGCAAAAGAGGGTAGCGCGAAGTTCAACGTGTATTAGAAAAACTTTTCTCCAGATTTCTCGGCTCTAGTTTTCTCTTTTTTACCCGATTACATGGGTAATGTTGTATTCCCAGTGATACGCTACAACTTCCAGATTCACAGATTATTAGATACGCGTCCTGGATGAGTCCTGGAACAACTGATCACAGATTCCGCAAAATTTCGGAGAATATCCACTCAATTACCATATACCCTTACACTTTCGAGGAAACATTATCTCTAACTGATTTTTACATTCCGAGAAATTCCATGAAGATTATACATTTTTTCGCGATAATATTATAATTTAATATTTAATGCAATTATCACCGAGGAAATAATTAAAATGATTATTTCACGCATAAAACACAGTTTCATCAACAAATAGATTAATACAGACTTGAGATGGCAGAGAATAAAAAAAAAAATTCAACCTCGACTCCCAGAAAATGAATCTCATAGAAATTCGCAAAGGATAGCAATGGAATATTATAATTTAAATGACGAGTTAATAAAAATCTCGGATTTAGCATCGAGTGCGTGATAAATTGAGATTCCCTAAAAACCCAGAGAAAACTTGAAATACGTTGGCAAATATGAGCCCCTCGGTGGGTTCCGGCCAATTTCCTCATAATGAGAGATATTGGTGGTCGCATTGGGAAAACTGTAACAGTGGTGAAGTACAAGGACATATACAGTGGTAGCAATTTGGTAGGTAGGTGACCCAGGGTACCCAAGAAACTTTAACCGAGGCAACTTATTGCTGAACTTATTACCGAGTTCAAACCCCCTTTCACCCCAGGTTTTACCGAGCCATCTTTGGATAGCATTGCCACACACCACTTATCTCAGAATCCTCAGTCGAAAAGTTTAAAACCTCACGTTGGTCCAAAGGTACTCGCACGATGTGCACGTCTGCACCGTTTCTGCTCAATAACCAGAAGCCCTACGGAAACTACCAGATCCCGAGAAATTCACAACTTTTCCACCTCCACTTCTCCGATGTATCAGACTAGTTTCCAGATATTTATTTGGGATCCACTTGCATGAGCTTAAACAGCTGGGGTTCCCTAATTCCCTAATTTAATTCAATTACAACCCTCTCTGCACCAAAATTCTTACAAATTTTCTACTCTATTTTGCATCCACATTCCACGCTATTATTTTTTTCTTTTTTTTCTCTTCAATAATTTCAAAGAGTCTAGGATATTTTGAAGCCTTAATTCAGTTAAAGCCTTAATTCTCCACATTCTCAACTATCTATCAGAGAATTTGCTGTACCAACTTCAGCGACTGGCGGTTTAATTGCCTCTGTAATTGAATAACCTTCCTTTGAATTTCGAGAATACCAGGTAATGTGATCATACCTGCATATCTAAATTACAGAGGCAAGAAATGGATTAACTGCAATGATCTGCTTCTGCAATTCATTTCTTACTCTCGATTTCTCGAAAATATTTTGAATTTCGATGGATGAAGGGAACGTTATTGCATTTAGTCAACACCTTCTGGGGGGGAAACGAATTGATGGTGATGGTGACCCAGAGGATGAGTGCAGTCTTAAGAAAAGGAGAATGGCCGAGGCAATCAGCCAATGATGTGGCGCCTTCACCCCTTTCACCCCTCGAGAGCTGTCGAATTTGACGTCCCCCAGAGACATGATATTGCCTTCTACGACTTAGTTCGTGCCACGAGCGTGATGGGATTACGAGTACAATTACATAAGTGGATGTCCCCAAGTGCCTCGTGCATCGCTTCATGAGGGAACTCTTGAGAGTGATGCTGCTACAGCACTAGTCACTTTGGACCCTCTGAAACGCCTACCACTCAATTATTATTGTCCAAGACGGAGGATGAGGCGGAACCAGATCATTCAGCAACTCGTGATACCTCACATCCGCCAGTTTTCTAAAACTGTTGTCCATTTTTTTTTTCTTTTCCATTTGGAAACTATTACTAACTTAATTTTGGATGCGATTTAAAATCAATTTCTTAAGAATATGCGAATTTTTTTATTATGTGGAGTTCGATGCGATTTTGAATTGAATCGATTTATCAAAAAGTCGTCACTTTTTGAATTTTTTAAGGTATGAATTTTCATTCAATTTTTCACAAATCGTTGTTTGCAGTTTTCATTCTCTCAATTTGTATACGAATTCTTTATGACACGGGTTTGAACAGAATTTAATATCCATTCAGAATAAATAGGAAAAAATATGGCTTCAATTAGCTTTTCCCCTTACTTCCCTTTGGATGTTATTAAATGGTGAAATCCCGGTCGTTTCTCTTTTCCCTGGCACTCGGCTTTTTTTTTTAACCCCCGCCCTCAATTGACTCAGACAAAGCGTTTGCGATTTAAAGCCTTTGAGGGAAGGGCTTCCCTCCAACGACGAAAAGACTACACTTTAAAAGTTCTCGGCGTCGTGACCCCGATGCCACTAACGAGATATCATTGATTAATTCTTGAGTAAAGTATCAAATGACTCACCTCATGGGCTTGAAGAGTGCTTGCAGATCGTTTGGATAGTCTATCACCAGCTTCAACTGGGTTCCACCGTCTTTTTGGGCTGGAATCAAGGGATAAGTGATTTTTAGATGTGGATAGAAGTTTTTTCCTTGACTTTTTTTTTACTGGGAGAAAGTTAATTGAGTTATCGAGGGAGATCTGTAATTTAGATTCTTTGAGCTGCGGGTAGATTTGACTTGTGCCAAATGGTTTTTAAGATAAGTGGTCTCTGGAAAAACCGTAATCTCCACTGAATCCTTTATACTGTGAAATCCTTCAAGAGTACTGAGGGGAAAAGTCCCCGTTTGACAAAGAACATTTACTTGATGCTGGAAAATATTCACTTGTCAATTTTAAAATTGTGAAATCTCGGGATAAATCATGTCGTTTCACTCTCGGAGAAAAAGTCTTTGGACAAGATGAGATTCAGCACTTGAATTGATAATGAAAGTGGGGGAAAAGGACAAGAGAATATTGAAGTCCTATTGATAAATTTTTTTCTCAACGTGAGATAAGAATATTATTTATCAGAAAAGCCCTTGCTTTCGATAATTATTTAATTGAAAATTATGCAAGTGTGTGACGATTGTTTCGATGTCCTTTTGATAGCGGGTCATAATGTCAATTTAAATGACCGGAGCATTATCTTGTATATTATTGTGGACGGGAAATTGACTTGGAGCAGAATGAAAGCCATGAATGATACAAGTTAATGATAAATTGTTCATGAGTTTCTGTCGCGTGTCTCCCCAATTCTAGTGTTGAATTAATCAAATGGGTATTTTATCGATCACGGAAAATTAAACGTACAAGGATATCAAGGCCTTATTGTCACCAGAACACTATTCCCTGGAGTAAAACGAGAAATGGGGGTTTGACGTTTTCGCCATTCCTCCACTCACTTGTCTCGTATAATATGAGACAACAGACTCTGACGATCTGTCGTCTGATTAACGGATTAAGTCTAACTCCTACAGCCGTCGGTGATCAATGGGGCAAATTAAGGACACTCAAGATGAGTTGAGGAAATGGAGAATTTTATGGAGAAATCCTTGGGCTGATATCATTTGGAGAATTTCCTGCTGTCGTCACATTGATTTTTCCATCAGGATTATTCAATAGTCCGTCGGTCACGTCAGTTATTAATTAAATTAACTCATTCATTCATTCATTCAGAATGGAATTCTATATTTTTAGTGTCCAAATTTTCAAAGTGGATTTTTCGGAGTATCTCGATAAAAAATGAACGTAGAGTTAAAAGTCAGAAGAATTTTTTGGCGAGTGTGAAATTATCAAGAAAAATTGGAGGGATAAGCGGGATTTTTTTTATATGAGGGAGAGTTTTTGTAATTGCGCAGGGAAAATTGATTGTTTAATTATGCTCACCTATGTGGATGATGGGCTTCGTGGCCATCTCTTCCAGCAATCTGTCGACGATCTCTGATTTCTCGGGATACATCTCTAGTCTCGATATCTGCAAATGGAACTTCTGCAATGTACTCGAATTTTTTCTGTGAACAAGCGAAAGTAAAATTAATTATTCCATCTGCATTAACCACTTTATAACAGTGTAATTACTGTTGTGCGAGTTCGATGGAAATTTATTCAACCGAGATAATCTCGAATCGGATTGCTTTGCATTCAGTGGTGATATTTCTGGTCCTGGAGTTCAATTTCAAGGAGGCATAACGTTATTCCAAACGCATTTCACGTAAATGCTTCTTCGTATAGAGGAGTTGGAGAAGGGAGAATATATGTTTGTTGGAGAGTATATTCCCGAGTGGTTTTACTCTGAATGCACAGATTTTTCAATCTGTCTACTGATCTTGAATTTCAAGTCACTTGGGAATTTTTCCCCATTTTGTTTATTTTTTTTTTTCATGTTTCATTTTTCATTTTGCAGAATTTCATTTGAATTTCATAGACTGACAGATAACTTTTCACTCAAATCAATCGTGTTCCATTTATATTTCCATGAAGAAAAAAGTTTTCTTACATCCAGAAAGAGTTGAGAAAAAAAAAATTCACTCATTCACTCTTTCCCCGTGAAATCAGTTTTAATCTCGATAAATAATATTGAAATTTGGTTATTTATTTCTCCTGAGATTTTATGAATTAATCCCGGAAATTGAGAGAAATCAGAAGATTTTCAGGGAAGAATGTGACTGTAGAATTGAGGAATTTCTCCAGGGAATAAGAAATCTTTTTTGTGTTCACGGGATTTTTTTTCCTTCGGAGGAGAAAGATGATAGAGGGGACAAAGGGTCGAGGTGTGAAAAAAGGTAAAAAGAGGGTTAAAAAAAAATGAGATAAAACATAGGTATTTTTGCACCTTCCCCAGTGGTGATGTAAAATAAAGAAAAAGTATTTTTTTATTGTTATCAATTCCGCGTCGTTGGCTTTTGGTGGATATAAAGTGTCAAATATTGTCATTTCATCCTGTCGTAAGCCCCCACACACTCCGGGTATGTTCAATACAACTATGCGAATCCTCGGTGTAATTCGTGTTCGCTTAGAGGGCCTTTTAAAATGCATGGAATACCGCTCTCACGCGACTCGACTTCTTTTTTACATACGTATGTACTCGGGGGTATGTGTACATGTACGAAGGGGGATACACACACGAGCCCTTTGAGCCGTTGGGGTCTGTCTGATAGAGTTCTCCATGAGGGAGATACTAGACCGAAGATGAAAAAAAGGATAAATGGACGAGTTGGAGAAAAGTTTGGGTTTTCCCAAAGGCTAAGGGGAAAGCCGAGTCACCACCAGTCGGCTTTTCTTCGAGTTTCAATACGATACCTCGAGGGCCTGCAGATACGTCTTGAAAAATTCCAGTTAAATTACGAATGATCTTCTGAGTATGGAATATAGCTCTTCATTTTTGGAGGACTTGTCTTTCTTTGCGGCGTTATAAAAATCATTAATTTTTCAATTATGCGATCACTGAATTTTTTTTTCGTATTGGAAATTCAATAAAATTGGAATTTTCTTGTGAAATAATTGATTTTTATTCTCAAGCTCTAGGTATACCTTCTAGATATATTTAATTCCGGGAAGAATATCAATTCTGGAACGAAGTACATTTTTTTCCTTGGAAAAAAAAAGGTGAAGAGGTTTGGCTGGATGAGTCCTCGGAGGTACATGCAGGATGGAGATGGAGCAACGATAGCTATCCAACGAGTACAGCCCACCGGTGTGAGTACATATGGGTTGCATACTAACCACTTCACGGAATACCACTAAATCTTTGCGAATTATCTGCCGCACACAACGTCACCTAACGAAAAAGCTATCACCACCACCACCACCACGGAGATCTCATCCTCTGTGAATACCTCTCAACTCCACGCCATTTTTATTTATCCACATGGCGAAAATTCTACTCCCCAAAATTTCCACTGAATTTCAACGACAAAAACTCTAACTTCAGTCTCTGCGAAATTGTAATAGAAGAATATGCAACGGAGTACCTCAAAAATAATTTGCTGAATTGACAGGAGCCCTTATTTCCCTAAAGTATTGAAAATCGCTGTGATTCGACGTGATAACTTATGTACAACCGTCAACCTTTCCCGCTTATGTTTTATTCCTGAAGTACTGAGTAGATTGCGCGCGTAACTCGAGTACGGGTACCCTCCAGCATCCCAATGAATATATCATCATTGTTACACACCCTTACATTTCAGAATTCCACTCTTGAAAAAATGAAAAGCGGCCATCATCTGCTTCCACTGACACGTAGAATTGCCCCCTCGAACATTTGACATTATCGAAAAATACATGAATGATTGACAAATACGTCAGATACATCGCGTCAACTCATTAGAGAATTGGTCTCTTGGATTCAATATCCCCAAGAAGACTAGATCAGAAGAATCGACTTATCGATTGAGGCAAAACAATTTTCCAATCGAGTCTCAAGTTCCCTAGGAATGCTATTCACCAAATAAAAGATAGCAATTCCACTGATACCTAAATCTCCCAGAATATCTCTGAATCTACGACAAACAGCCAAATTTTCATAACTACCTTTTTTATAGCTCTCACTCCACTCAATAAAAAATGTTCTATAAAAAATTTCACCATCTCCATCAGATTCAGAGATAAAAAATTTGTATAAAAATTCATCTCTCGATGCTTTCACCTCATCACGGTACCTCTTCGCGCCGACTTTTCCGGGGATATCTCAGAATCTACGGCAGATGAAGAAAATTTGTTAAATACCTTTTATGTAGCTCTCCCTCGGCTCTACAAATGTGGTAATAATGAAAAAATCGGGTATATGCGTTAAATTCAGAGATATTCCCCCTGAACTGCGACAGATGTAAATACGACGACGAGCGTTGCCATTCCAATAATTTATCCATTTATCCAACCATCCAGTTATTAGATAAAAATCAATTTCCATCGTTGGAAAGCAGTCAATCGATTTTTCCCGATAATTTCAATCAAATAGTGGACGTACTGACGTTGAAATCCACTGGCCCAGTTAATATCCCACCAACATCTCCACCATCTGCTGTCATCGTTTGACGCGTATCTAAATCATCAATACGCACGGGTGTAACGTCAACACAGGGTGTGACAAGGGATGATATATCCAACCCCCATGTCTTGGTACCCATTAAACATCACCAACACAGATTGGCTCTCAGCATACTGAGCGATCATCAAGCCGGCTGAGTGAGACTTTATACTTTTCAACGACGCCATCAACAATTTTCGAGGCAATTTCAACGCTTAGCTAGAGCTAAATCCAATGTAGCCTTCACCGTAAAAAACCAAATAGCTTATATTGTGGCACGTCCTATTTCACGTTGAGATATCCGTATGAACAACAAAATGAGGATATTATCATATTGAAATTTAACTCCATCCACTGCTCAAAGAAAATATCTTGCCAATTTAATATATAGTAATTGAATAATTAATTCCATTGGAATCAAAGTAAATCGGGGAAATTCACGGTTTTAGCGGTTTTTTTTAACCCTTTTTTATTTTTTCAAATTTTCCAATATTTTTCAGTGGCTAACGGTAAAATTCTGTTCTAAGAGGTTTATCACTCAATCGATATTTTTCCACGTCCTTCGACATTTGCTCGTTTATTACCCAATACCAATCCGAGAATCGATCTAGATTACATGTCTCGCTGATAATCACGACAATTACGTGCCGCAAACCGCGGCCTTGAGAATAATTCATTCTCGGGTATAATTAACACCTAGCCATCAACTTCTTCATTAGTTTGGAATAATCCGCGAGATGAAACACGAATAGATTGTGGCCAATAAAATGCTATATGGGATAGTAACATCAGGCATTAGTGGCATTAAAACTCACTTGAATTTCATGGAAAGATAATTGGAGAATGGAGTTGGATTCGAACGATTACCGCCCCATGATGATGAGATTCAGGGTAGAGGCAGGAAGTGGTGAGGAAGACGCGAGCCAATGGCAATTGGCAATATTCGATATTCCAGAAGTGACTTTCGAAGCGAATGCACGTTAGACTTTCAGGGGTGGTTTGGGGCCGGGGATTATCCGTTGGAGAGAATCTCCACGTTTGTGGTATCACGTACATACATGCAACACGTTTGAATACTTATGCGGATGACCGCCTCGGGGAGGGAGGGGGGTCAACGGGTATCGCGCCGCAGGTGTTCCACTTTTAGTTCTCAGAGCATTTTCACTAGTCGATAAATTTTCCCAATAAAAACTCACGATCGATCAATTTTCTTTCTCTATCAATGGGGTTTAGTTCGGATATAAATAGAAATTTGCGTAATTTTATAAAAATACAATAATAAATAATGATTAATTCATTGATTAATTCATTGATTCATTTAGCCTTAATTTGTCAGGTAAATCAATCCCCCCGAAATTTCATATTTGGTGCATTGAGCATTTTTGGAAAATAAGATATTCCGAGAGAATTCGAGAGAGCGTGTATTTCCCTCGCGACGAACAGCTCGGGAAAGCCGAAAAAATGTAAAAATTGAATACTCCCCACTTTGAGAGCTGTCTTCATTCCTAATGATACCTCATCAGATATTCCTGTCTCTCATTTACCGAATGCCATCATCCATGCTTTACCATCCACCTCATGTACCTCGTCTCTATCTTCTCCGCCACTGGATGCACCTCACCACCCACTGGGAGGAGGTCTCTTCGCAAAGCTCCCTAGCTCTCGTACAAACTGCAAACCGAATCTTCCGCCGTAGATTGAGTTCGCGAACACACGCTCGCACGCTTCCACTACTAGAACTAATCTCGTCTAGAATCCCCTTGTATCTCCTCACCTGTTACCCTCCTTTCTCCTTCCTCTTTTCCCGTCATTCCAGTCTTCTCGATTTCCGTTTTCAGCCGGAGTGTAGCTCATCCGGGAATTGGTGAAATTATATGACGGGTGTTCCTGGACAAGAGTTACACCCCATAAAAATCTATTTCACTCAAAAATCGAACAATTATCCGTTTTTACATTTTTCCCTAAATTTACTAAAATCAATTGACA